CCTCTCTCTAAGAATATCTCTTCAAGTATGGTTCATACAGATTGCAGAACGCCTATTTTCTATCTGATCCGTGTAAAGTCCAAACTAGGCGTGTATATCAAAAGAAAATGCCACGTTGGTTTACAGCTGAGGCACATGTACGAATAACTTTCAGTCAACTTTTTCATCGAAATGAGAAGTGATATCAAAATAAGCCACCACGAAATTCTTCGAAACATCCGCTCTGAGTGTTTATCATGTTGTGTTAATAAAATTGACCTTCCACTGGACGATCGTGTAGTGTTTACTCGCCTTATAAACACAAACGTATTCAGACCTTTTTGGAAAGGCACGGCGATGTGGTATTTAGGGCAATCGGGTGGGGCACATTTTATATTGTGAAATTCCACCGTTAATAACATATTATCTCTCAAACAAGAACCTAATTATCCCAGTCTGCTTATGGTTAGTTAAGGTCTAATGGTGAAGATTTTTCCCACAAGAATGTGTGTAGACATTAGAATCACATTAACTTTCACTTAACTTCGCCGCACAAAATATATTCCGATCCTGCCTAGACGACAGTTTCGACCTCGCCTCATCGTTTCGTCAGCTCCCCCAAAATGCCCCGAGATCGGGTTAGGTGTCAACGCATTGTCACTTCGACACACATCCACGAGTCTCACGGGTCACAAAACAAATGCTAATTTCTTCGTCCAAACAAAATGGTTGATGAGACAAACTGGTATTTGCAATTGCAATCGACAATCTTATTTGGCGGGATTAGGTTTCGATACTGTCAATAATGCCTAAATAACAACTTGGTTAGATATGAAAGCTAAAATGTTCGTAGTCTTCTTTATCTGCATCAAGTGTGATATGACTTCGTTTGCTCAACTTGGTTTTAGGTAAAGGTAGACCTGATACAGTTTACCGAGGTCATTATCTTCTGTCATAATCTTCTTGATGCTTTCCAGCATCAAACCCTTGACTTGGCCTGCCCTAGGGCCCTGAAAATAATTTTAAGGACTGATAATAAAGTTGTTTCCAGCAGGTTAAGTTTCGCCGTCAAGCCCTTGTTTCAACCACTTCAAGCCCGTTCCGGGTGTGCTGAGGGCCACGACAAAGAGGTAGTAGAGCTATGGTGCCCTCGCGCCGAATCGAGAGGGCACAAATGACCGACCGATTTGTCGACAGGATGAGAAGTTGTACCATTGTCCAGGTCTCATCCCTCTGTGTTTCCACTTTTTTAACTGAGGTCGTGTTGTCGGGGCGACTTCGAGACACACGCTCAGTCGGTACAGCGTCTACTGCCATTGATCCCATGTGCTCATACAGCATTAGACAGCAGAGGAACTGCAAATGGGAAAAAGTGACTAGTAAAATCCATTCTTTGACCAAATTTTTGCTGAAAAATTGTAGTTTTACTACACTTACCTGTCCCTTAAAGCTTTATCCTACTTCTAATTTGTTCTGTGTTAACTAATCCCAGGCGGGTTCAGCGAAGCATGCCCACATTTCGACTATCTACAGGACGTATTTATTCCATTTGACCCTTTCGGTCTACAGAACACGCCCTACAATTCCGATCCGATTTCTCTTCGTGCCTTTGAAAAACCTTTCTGGGCAAATTTTCAGTCTTTTGGTGACCTCAATGGAGAAAAATATTTGACTGATTTTCGATTAGCATTCGAGGATATACAGCCCAAGAACGGGTGTGTTCTCACTTTTGTGGCAGACTCCTTTCTCTCTATGCAGGTGATTTTACCTCGTTTTCGAAACTTGTTCAGGTTACCAGCTTAGTCATGATAATATACTGAACCAACCCTTTGACTTGGCATCAAGTATCGGTAAACGAAAATCCAGCACTGACGACACTGGCTATGTCATGATGATATAACATCTAGCAAAATAATAGTAAAAGATGTGTTCACCATAATTAGCTAAAGGTGATAAAGGATTGGTAGTTGAAGTTTTCCGAAATTAAAAGGAGAGACCTGAAGTTGACATTGAATAACACATAGCATTGCTTCTCAAAAATTTTTTCATCCAGGGTGGATTGCGGCCACGACCTAGCCTAGGTTTTAGCAACAACCATAGAAGAACTTGAACTATGACAGTACAGTGTATAAACTCGACATATTAACAATTACGCCAAATTGAAACTAATGCCCCTGGGTCGCAATTAGGAGGGAAGTCAGGCATTTACTCATAGTACATTGTGGTGGAATTTTCAAGGAAGAAAAGTCATATATGGTATAGCAATGGACAACGTTACTTATTTTTAGAAGTAGTATGATCGTGTTTTCGCAACTTGGTCTAATTGGTAGGAAGACTTAGAGTAACGCACCTAGTCCGGAGTCCATTGTATGCATGATCATTATCAGTCGGACCAAACACGTGGTACATTCCCAGACGCTTCACAGGTATCGTATTCAGCATCATCTGTGAGTCTTGCCAGTCATAGCACCATACAAAAACTCGTCAAAGAGACAAGTGAAGCCGATCCTTTGACCAAATGTGCGCTAAACAATTGTTGTATCCATTCTTCTGTCATGGGCTATTCACCTTTCCTATATTCCCGTATCACACCTTCAATTTATTACTTGCTTATCCAAACCTATATGAAACCTATTCACACTCCTAGCTGGTTTCCTCATCCGTCGCACTGTACCGGGAGTTTCGATCCAAGGCCGCAATCCTCTCTCTTCGGGTCCTATCAGAGTCCCCTCTTGCTCCGTAGGAACCTTCCCTTATCTGCCTGCTTAAGTAATTTCACTCCATCGCTGCCACCGTATCCTTGCTACTTAAGACGTTATGTTCTACAATCTGCCTCCGGCCTTTGATAGCACGTAAACACCATAAATGACCGTATGCCTCTAAAAATAGTAGTAATTAAAATAAAGGAAGATTTGGTCGGTTAACAAACTAGTAATAGCCTCAACTTTGGGCCCATCCAAAATTGTATAGAGCTTGCGAAATATAAGGTACAAATTCCAATTTAGCCTCGAGCAAAGGTACAACCAATAAATCATAAATATATTTTGTAAATCAGTGAACATGCCAAAGAAATAGAGGAAAGTATGTGGAATAAATAGAGAGAGATTGAGTCAACAAAAAGCGAACTAAAAAATGCATTCTTAGAGGTAAAGAGAATATATCTATTCACAATTTGTGGGTTTCAACGTACATTAAGATAGTTTATGATACCTTTAGGTGTCCTTATGTAGCAAATTAAAATTTTGTAATAATCGAGAAAAAAGATGATGATAACTTTTGTGTATTTGCTTTGCTATTTTGTGTCTTTTGAATATTGGAACCTTTTCAATAGTACTCTAAGTAAAAGCTCATTCTAGAGGAATAGACTCAATTCTCTTAGCGTAGATAAAATCGAGGCAAGATAACCCCAATATTTTATTAAATTTTCAAGACCAGAGTTGACGTATGACTTGTTAAGCATAATTAAATATCCTAATGACTGCAACATTTTAGCACGCCATTGGATAAAATATTGCGATAAGATCTTGCAGTAGAAAATATTCGAAAAATTTCGAGTACTTAAATCCAATAAAAAAGCCTGAATGCCGAGTTATTACGAGTAAATATTTGTCAAAGAACGTAGCCACTTGAAAATCCTATCTTTCAGAATACTATACTGTAACTAAGTTAAATATAATGAAATAAGAATGTCTCAAAAAAAAAACTTCCATTTTATTCAGAAAATAACTCTTTAATTTGAAAAAAAAACTTTTTTATAACTCATTTATCGAGTTGCATTTTTTACTTGACAGGAATCATTCCTTCAATTATTTGCAAAAACGAATTAGGTCATTTTGTGCCGTCCCAGGCCTTCCCCAACGCCTACTTAACCCTATATTTAATGAAATATCACATGTTAATTGAATATTAAATCAGCAATAACGACCATCAATAAAATATCAGCTGCCTTATAGCAAAGGTCCACTAGGAAACAAAGAAATTTTAGGACGTTTATAGGTAAAAAATTTTATATATAGCCTTTTGTTGTGATATTAGATTAATCATGGGCACATTTGTCTGGTCTGAGTTGCAAAAAATATGCCATAGCGCATTCCTCACAAAAACATGACCTAGAACATGCATTGCTCAGATGGGAATTAACACAAGGAGTTGAAAAAATCAGTAGCCCATCTTATAAAAAAGGAAATGCAGACAGGCAAGAAATTCTAGCTATTTATGTTAGGCCAGAAATAGGGATTCAAAAGAAAAGATTATAGAGCATATAAATAAATTATATTATCATGGAAATTGTTTGACTTCGCTTTCGTAACTTGGTCATTTGGCAGGGAAAATTTATATGAATTTTATCAAAGGATCCAGA